ATGCTCGTCTGTGAGCCCGGTGCAGGCCGGCCCAGGGGAGGAAGCCCTGGGCTGGGCGAGGCAGATGGTTCTCCTCCTGGGGAGATGGGCATTGGGTGGGACGCTTCCCCTCCTTTCCTCGCTTCCCCAAAAGTAAGCCTCAGGCTCCTTCTATCGTAGGGTTCACTGAACCACCATGGAAACACAGACGAGTAARGGAGAGTTTCAGAGGTCCCGTCCTGGGTCCCCAAGTCTCGTGCTGGTTTCCAGCCTCTTGTTAGGTGGCTTCTTGCAGCAGACCTGCCGCGCAATCCAGGAGGTGCCCCTTTTCTCACCTCTGAGGCCTTCTCTGCTTCCAGGCTGGGGAACCCCAGGAGCCAGGGCCCCCTGCAGTCTGACCCCACCTCCCAGAGTGGGCTCCAAACCATCTCAGTGGTGACACAGGGACTGACTGGCTGCTGAGTGCCCCCTGCTGGGAGATCTTTGCTCTGAGAAGGGGCATTTGCCGCCTTTGGTGGCCTCCATCTGGCAGGGCTGGTGGTGTGGCTCCCCCTGTGCACAGGAAACTCCTCACCACCTTCCAGCCTCCGTGGGCAGCTGCTGATCTTCAGCAGGTGCCTAGATCCCAGGCCAGAGAGGCCTGGAGACGAGGGCGGGGCCTGGAGGAAGAATCAGGCAGCAGGACGTTGAGGCGTAAATCAGAGCTGCCTCTGGAGCCCCAGTCGCGGCTGTCAGAGGGATGACAGAGAGGCTGCAGTTGGAGAGATCAGGAGGCCACGCTTGCAAATGAAAATCCCCTCTGGAGCCTCTTGCCAAGCCCTGTCCCCAAGAACAGGATGAGCTTTGGCTCGGCTCCGCGGGGCTTGATTCATAGCCATGTCCGTCTCTGGGGAGAGCCACATGGGAACAGCATTTGGATCCGGCCTCTGGTGACGGTGTGATTTATATTCCCCAGAGCAGGCGGGCCAGGCCTCTCATGGGGTCCCAGGGACAGATGCTGGCAGGCTACTGCCTGCCGCTGGCCTGCCCCCTCACCAGCTGCCCTCTTGACCCTCTCCAGGACGTGTCCCTCACCACCCTCCCTTAGGCCAGCTTCTGCTGGTGCTGACCTTTGTCCTCAATTATTCTCCATGACCCAAGACGGTCTGAACCTCCGCCTGGCGCCCAACCCCAGGCTGGGGACTGGAGCAAGAGCAGAGTCCTCCACACTGCTCGAGGGTCCAGGGGAGAAAGGACCAAAGTTCCAGCTGGACCCTTGACCTACAGAGCCACAAGGGAGAGGGACACAGTGTGGCTGATAAGTGCAGGAGAGGATGGCGGGCAGGGCCAGGTGGATAGCCAGCAGGTCAGCCATGGGGAGCAGAGAGAGGCGGGGTCCTGGCCAACTTGTCCATGCTGGGGGACAGGGGTCAGTGGTGTCCTTTCCACTCCTCCCACCTTGCCACCTCGCTCACGTGCCTCCCCGTTGAGACCCTCCAGTCTCTCCCTGATGAGCTGGGACATGTGTTGCACATCACTGCCACCAGAAGGGTGACAGGAGACTCTCGCTGTTGGTTGGCGCATGTGTCATCTCACACCCGCTCTCCAGGCCCCAGCGCTTGTCCACGATCCCGTGTGTGTGCTCACTGTTGTCAGTGTGGTCTCTCATTCTGGGTCGCAGAGGTCAGCGCATCTGTCCAGCACCCTTCCTGAGCTTCCCAAGCCCAGGGGCCGTCTGTGCATGAAGTCATCCCAGTCCCAGCCAAAGGATGGCACCCAGTGGTCGCCCAGTGAGCGCCTGAGGGTCACTCAGCTATGTTTGCATAATTGTGTGAGTGGCACCAAAGTGTGACTTACTGTCTTAATCAACAGGATTTAGTTTATATACTAGATTGACAGTGCACAGCAGTCAGTCTCAGAACAGGCCTGGGAAGCCACTCAGCCACTGATGAGGAATGGCTTAAGGTACAGAGCTGCTCACTGTAACAGAGACTGGCGGTCAGAGGGAGCCCTCTAGCCAGGTGCAGCATGGCTGCCCCAGAGGCCGAAAGGGAAGGTCGCTTGAGTCCACAAGTTCAAGGCCAGCCTGGGCAACATAGACCCTACCTCAAAAAATAAAGAAAGAAAGAGAACTCCCAAGAATTCTAGGTCCTGCTAGACAGTAGGTGCCTCGAAGACAGGTGTGATGTGACTCTCTCTGTTTAGGTCCCACTCGGCATCACGGTTGGCAAGTGCATTGACCCAGGGCCTGTGGTGACCACGCGTGGTGTGATGTGCCATCTCTAGAACCTGCTGGGAGGGAGGGACAGAGGAGGGACGGTGGCTGGTGGCAAGCACGCTTGGGACCCTGCTATACAGACAAGGCTCCTTTTGTAAATGGGAGATTCCCTTATCGGTGACATCTCATGTTTGTTTTCCCCTTCGGTGTTAATACTTCAAAGGGTCAGGGAATAGGAAACAACCCCATTAAGCCTGCGATTCTGAGGGCTCGGTCTGCGGCTGACAGCTGGAGTGGAGCTGTGAGATAATGGAGCCGATACTAGTCCCAGCCAATTCCTCTCCCCTTTGCAAAGCACTGAATGACAAGCAGATCGCTCAGCTCCAAGCAGGCAGTCGCATTCAGATGACAAATGTGTCCCTGGACAGAGGAGCTTGTTGAGTGATATTTACCAGGGTCTCTGGGAAGGGCCCTCCACTCCCAAGAGAGCAGTCCAAGCCTTGGCCTCTGTGCCTGCCCAGGCCCGAGGGGAACCAGCCCTCCCTCCCTCCTCTCCATCTCTGGAAGCCCTGGTGATTTATTTAGATGCTAGAAGTTTCCTGTGCTCTTCCTTCTTCCTCCTTGTATTCCACCTCCCTCTCCCTCTCAGACCCCAGCAGCCCGGAGCTTGCAGGCGGGGTAGGAGGGGGGCCTGCCTTAGCCTGCGTGGCCCAGCCCCACCCTAGTGCTCCAGTCAGGTTCCCCCATCCTTGGAGCCTCAATCTCCTGAGATCCAAGAAAGAACTAAGAAGAGCGACTGCTCAGGCTCGCCATCCAGGTAGAGAAATCTGGGTTCCCACACGCCATCCCATGTCACTTAGCCACCCCTCCCCACACATATGCTGGTGCCAGGTACTGTCCTTTGTTGGAAGAGYCAGTTCCAGACAGTGTGTTTGAGAAGCAAAGGAGGCCGGTGGCCAGGGCTGCCAGCCTCCAAGTGGTTCTGGGGGTTCTCACCAGGGCCTTTTACCTGAGCCCACGGGAGAGACAGAAGCCAGAGAAGATGGACACGTGTACGTGGATACGTACGTAGGCGCCTGCATGAAGGTATAAACACGCTCATTTACCTGCTGAATACATACAGATAGGACATGGCTTTACACATACACTATTCACTTATACCAAGGGCAAGAGGTTTGCTGCAAACAAAGTCAGCTCACACGATCATGGAGTCTGAGGCCTGGGCTCAAGACAGCCAACTCCATAGCTCTGGTCCGAGTTGCAGTCTGAACTCAAGACAGGACAGACAGATTGCCCTCCTCCCTGCCTTTCTGTTCTACTCAGGCCTTCACGGGTCAGAGGAGGCCACCCGGGTGGCAGGGGTGCTGCACTTTCTGCGGTTCAGCRGCCCATCTCATGCTGACACTCACAGACCCCCRGAACGTCTGGGCATCTTGTGGCCAGTCAAGTGGACATAAAGTCAACCACTACTCTAGCCTGGGTTCATGGACCATGTTGAGTTTACCAAGCAGATGGTATTTCATTTGGCCTCCAGAATGATCCAGTGAGGCGCTGTCAGCCTCTCTGTCCCAGGTGTCACCAGCCTGGCGTTTGAAGTGTAGTATGTTCACCACAATCCCATATCACCATGTGCCAAGGCTCTTCCCTCCCAGAGACAAGACACCCCTTCCCAGAGTCCCACCCGCCTGCCCCGCATGTGAGAGGCTGAGAGCTGTCCCCCGGGTCCCTGGCCTCTCCTCTGCCCTCACTGCTCCTAGCAAGCAGGAAAGGTCATCCGTGGGCTGAGCCGCGGTGGAGGTGTCCCCAGGCATCTCCAACAGCTGGGTGTGATCCCGATGCCAAGGAAGGGCTCGGCGTCGAGGTGAGGCTGGCGAGGAGCAGAGGTTGCACGCAGGTGGGCAGCTTCCCTGGGACAGGAGTGCCCTTCTTGTGCCCGTCATTGTCACCTTAGGGCAAAGTGCATGGCATTTACACTTAATAAGCTTTTGTCACCATAATCCTGATGGTAAATCAAGGCACCATGGAGTGTGTCCCTTTATTTAAGACACAGTGCAAGGTGTTCTGGCGGAGTCTGTCACAGGGGCATATGAATCAGCTCTAAAATGGTCACATCCTCACAGTGAGCTTRGAAAAAGGCCACGGAGCAGCCTTCCTCAGGTTTTCGTGCCAGTCCGTGCCCACACGGCCTGGTGTGGCGGCCATGCCTGAGTGTGTTGGTCCATCTGGAAACTGCCTTTCCGGGCTGCCTAGCCGGCATGGTGGAGGAACTATCTTTCTGTTTCTGGAGGGAATTGGACTGGACCTTGTCTGGGAGGACTGTCCTGTAGCCACATTGGCCTTAGCCCCTGCGTGGGGAGAGTGCCTGGCTGGGCCTGCAGAGAGTAGGGCAGCTGGGTGTGGTGTAAGTGCCAGCCCCGGTCTATGGAGAGGCCACAGCTGAGCTGGGACAGCGGGCCCTGAACCACCCAGAGTTCAGTATGAGAAGCAATGTGTGGTGACAGCCTCTGGGCCACCAAGGGGGCTTGGTGAGATCCCAGCACCAGGGGGCATCCATGCTGGGGTTCGTGGGTGGSAGGTGGCATGGGACCTCAGAGCTGACTCTGTGTGTATGTGTGTGTGTGTGTGTGTCACTGGGGATTGAACCCGGGGTGCTCTGCCGCTAAGCTCCATCCCCAGCCCTCTTATTATTTTTATTTTGAGACAGAGTCTTGCTAAGTGGCTGAGGCTACCTCAGCCTCCTACATGGCCAGAATGACAGACATTGCCACCCGCCAGCCTCAGAGCCGACCTTTCTCTGACCACCCTTTTCTGCCATCCCCCACAGGGCCTGTGCCAGCAGCGAGACGGAGAGCGAAGCTGGAGACCTCATGGACCAGCAGTTCGAGGAGATGAACAACAAGCTCAACTCGGTCACCGACCCCACCGGCTTCCTGCGGATGGTCCGCCGCAATAACCTGGTAAACAGGTGCGTGTGGGCTCTTCCTCCAGGCCTGGCACAGCCCAGGTGACGCGTCTGCAGCCGACACTCCTTCCAGCCGGGCGGGCTCCTGGCCCTCACCGCACAGCTGCAGAAGCAAGTGGTGGGCTCGGGGGCCTCTGCTTACAGCAGCCTCCAGCTGCAGCGGGGACTGGCTACAGGCCTGACCACCAGTCCTGGCTGGGCTGGGCTGGGAGGCCCAGGTGGTGGCCTGTTCTCCACACTCCTCCCAGCTGACACTCTGAACCCAGGCGAGACCAGAGTCGCTCCGCATCCTGCCGCAGCGAACTGGCAGGTCATGCACCTGTGCTGCTTCCTGGCCTTGGACTCAGGGAGGCAGGGACAGTGCAGAGCCAGCGTTGCTGAACAGAGAGGCTGACCAGCAGTGAGCACGGCCACCACTAGCCAGTAGCCCAGGACCTCTATCCCCAGCGCCCACCCAGTGGCCTTGGCAGTCAGGCTATCCTGAGTCAGGATGGCCAGCCCCAGCCCGTCCACCTTTTTCCCAGCTGTGAGGCCAGGTTGGGTCCAGATCAGCAGAGGCACTTCTCACACTGTCACTTGGTTCCCCGGCAGCAACCTGAGCATCACGTTTTGACAGACTGCTGCAGAGAGACACCTCAGACTGCCCAGGTCCCTGCCTCAGCCTGGGAGGCCTTCGAGGGAGGCTGGACCAGGGCCGTGGAGGCTGTGCGCTGGGTGGGGCTCGGCCTCTGCTTGTTGGTTCATTTCAGTGGCACCAAGTGCCCTCCCATCCCTCCCCCAGCCYTGGCTTCCTCTCATTCTTGTGCTGTCAGGGTGACAAACGTGTGTTTACTTTCCCAGGGCCAAACTCCCGGGGAAGGGCACCAGGGCCAGGGCAGAGGACGGCAGCGAGGTTAGGAAGGAGGTCGAAACGTCCAGCCAGCCCCGCCCATGGCCTCTCCCTGCCACCTTCGCAAGGGTCCCTGGAGGCTTCGGTTTGTGGGGGACATAGCCAGAAGGGAGCAGGCCTGGCTCTGCGGGGGCCCAGGAGGCAGGGGCCGCAGCTCTACCAGGGGGTGACCTGTCAGAGCAGAGACTCGGGCGGCTCTGGCCTCACTGCTCTTCAGCTGGGTGACGCTGGACAGCCGTCCTGCCATTGCCAGCCTCTGTGTCTTCAGCCCTGGGATGGCCTCCCTTAATGTGGGATCCGAGGGGCGGGAGTAGCAATAGCACACCGGCCAGCTTCCTGACGCCACAGAGGCCTGTCCACAGGTGGCTCCCGTGCTGGGATGAAGTGGGAGGAACCATGCTGGACCCGATTCCCAGGACACTGTGGGTGGATAGACTTTGGAGGGGTGGCATCCCTAGGTGCCTCTGTGACAGTGCTGACTGTCCTGGGCTGTGGCCATACACCCGTCCGATTCTCATTTCACACCACCATGGCAGCCACCAGACATCATGGCCACCTGATTGCAATTCCCACAGGGTTATGGACACTCTAGGGTCAGGAGAAGGTCGGGCCAGGTGTGCCTGAACCCCAGTTTTCAACCCCGGGTCCATGGTGGTATGAGTTTGGGAACTGTGCGTTTTAGAAAGATGGTTTTGTCCTGAGCAGCTCTGAGACGGAGCAGGATCCTGTGAGCAAGATGTTGTAGATTAGCTTCTTGGTTCATTTAAATGACACCATCTGAGTCCCCTGGAAGGGAGGCAGCGCTGGCCCAGCCCTGGGACCCCTTGGGGAACAGTAAGGCCCACAGCCCTGGAGCCCGGGCCAGCCCTTGCCCAGACACTCTGTACCCAGTTCCCTTAGCAGGGGCCGAGCTGGCCAGGACTCTGGTGCCCTGCGGGAGAGCAAGGGGACTGGGGGCCTCTGCAGACTCCAGCCCTGGCCTTTCAGGGGCTGCTGGGGCTGCCTAGGAAGGAAGCAGCCTGTGTTCTTTCAGCCTCGCTGCAGAGAGCCCTTAAGGACAGTCGGCACCCAGTGTGTCCCCTACTGCCTTCCTGTTGGGCCTGGAGCAGAGAGGCTGTGGCCTCCGAGCCCACGGGTGGGGAGCTACAGCCAGGGACCCACAGAGGGAGCAGCATCCTTGCCAGCTAGCAGCGTGATCCCTGGTGGTCTGCCAGGGCAGCCTCCTGTCCTCCAGCTGAGCACACGGGCAGGAGGACAGAGACCTGTCACACCTCCCAGCTGCCTGCAGTCTGTGTCTTCTGTGTTCCCTCTCTGCCCCTTCCAGAGCCAGGGATCTGAGCTGAGAGGTGTGCCAGCTTGTCACTGCACAGATCAGCCCAGAAGTGGCTTCCTGCAGACCCCACACAGCAGCCAGGGCCTGCTGCACCCACAGAGGCGAAGGGGAGCAGCCACGGGCATGGGCCTTGTGTGCTGGAGGCGCTGGCTGCCCTCTCCGGGGCTCCCTGACTCGGGGACTTTAGGATTCCTCTGCCCTTCCTTTCCTGAGAGCTTGGCTGGGCGGAGTTGGCAGCGAGGCCGCCCTAGCTAATGTAAGTCGAGTGAGGCTTGGCTGCAGCGTTCCTCTCGCCACTCYGGGTTTGGGCTTTGTTCTGCTTTGTTTCTGAGGTCTCTGCAGCCGCTATTTTTCTTCTTGCCTGTGCACTTTGGCAGAAAATGCTTTTGCATTTGAGCCCAAGGCAGGCATCACTGGTGAACAGAAAACAAGGGACTTTCTCTTGGCTGGCACCGTAGCCCCCGTGTGGGTCCCAGAGGGCAGAGCAGCAGCCTCGGGCCTCAGAAGTTATGCTGAGGCCTGGAAAGCTAGTGTGCATGTGCGTGCGTGTGTGTGTGTGTGTGTGTGTGTGTGTCCGCGCACGCGTATGTGTGTGTGTATGTGTGTGTGTATGTGTGTGTGGTGAGGGGGGCGTGTCGCTGACTGAACCTGGGGTACTCAGCAGATCACATCTGCTACAGAAAAGACAGAGACAGGGTGGCTCTTGACTGCACCCTGCATTCCTGGTAGCACCTTGGCATTAGCAGGGCGCAGCCCAGGGTCATAGGACCAGCTCCTAGAGGAACATTCCGGCTGCCGCTGCCACTGCTGGGTGACATGCGTTGTAGGTCTCGGATTCTCCACCAACAGCTGTAGCATGACGCCAAGCTGCAAGGGGCTTCCCTGGTGCCCAGACTGATAACTAAAGCCAACACAGAGGACAAAGAGGTGGTGTGTCTCTCCCTTCTTTTTCTTTTTAATATTTATTTTTTAGCTGTAGTTGGACACAATATCCTTATTTTACTTAYTTATTCTTATGTTGTGCTGAGGATTGAGCCCAGGGCCTCACACATGCTAGGCGAGTGCTTAGCTGAGCCTCCCTCGGGCCTCTGCGGCTCCCACCTAGCACCCTGCATGCTCACTGGTGCTCGTGAAGCCTGGGGGATCAGCAAGCACGAATCCTGGGCCTGGTGGAGGGTCCTCCCAGAAAGTCTGTCATGCCAAGGGGAGGGAAGCATCTCCGTCTCATAGGCCAGCCGTGGAGACTGCACAGGGAGAGAAGAGACTCAGCCGAGGGCCCTGGTGAGGTCCACATGCCCACGAGGAGCAGGCTCAGAGGCATGTGTCCTGCTGGTGGGTCACATGAGAATCCCACAGCGGAGATGGGGTGCATAGCCCGTGGCAAGACAGAGGGGCTCCGGCAGGCTCTCCCCGTCTGCTTTCACCCCAGCTCAGGCCCTGGCAGTAGGGAGAGGGCTGCCCGAGAGCCTGCCCTTCCCTCCACTCCATGAGCAGCAGGCTGGCCTGCAGGGGTGGCAGGAGGGCCAAGGGCTGCTGCACAGGAGGGTTTCCTGAGGGCGTGGAGGGGACGGTGGGTAAGATGACTGGGTCCGTGTGGCCAGCCCCATGTGCTTGCGCATGGCCCTCTCTGTGCCCCCGCTGAGCATGCGGTGCCTGTGTGGTCGTGTGAACCTCCACGTGGGCCCGAGGGAGTCCAGCATGGAGGCAGGTGCTGCCCACGCAGGGCCCAGGCGTCCTGCGGTGAGGCAGAGTGTGGGAGGGCCTTGCCCTGGTGCCCGGCAGGCCTCRACTTGAACCCTGGCTCTGCCCCAGTGCGCCGGTCACCTTGAGCCTTTTGTGTATCTTACTTGTCATCCGAGCTTGGTGGTCGAGCATTGTCCTTGTCCCAGCACACTCATACATGTGGAATTCAGTCTGGAGAACCGGGGGACACTGCCTTCTGCCAGGGTCGTCCTGTGGTGCCGCACGGTGGCGGGAGGCCAGGTGACGCTCTGTCCGGGGCTTCTTTCCTTCCCTCCTCTCCTTGCATTGGAGGTTTCCGAGGCATCCAAGGTTCTTTGGGGGGATTCAGTCGCCCACCCAAAAGACCAAAATCAGAAACCTGACTGGACTGCTGGACGCTTCTCCCCTCTCAGGCCACCAGGTCCTAGAAAGACTGTGACATAGATGACATAGATGTACAGTGATGACCAGTCATATCACTGCAGCCACGGGCGTCTCCCCGAGACACCCAGCTCTCTGGCTCCTGCCCTGCCACCCTGTCTCCTGCTCTTTGGAGGTGGCACATGGCTCCTGACTCTGACCTGCACTGAACCCACCACAGGGCTGTTCCCAGTAGCCCCTGCCAACAGCAGCTGGGCTCCGTGGCCCCGCCTCAGGCAGGAGCCCCATCCCGGCCCCATCCTGGCTTCCTGCAAGTAAGCACAGCCACCAGCCTCCTCACCTGGCCTGGCCCAGGGCCCCTGGCCCCCACACACCATCCACCCTGGGTGCGTGCTTCTCCCTGGCAGCAGACACCAGCGAGGTGCAGGTGGGGAACTTGGAAATGGCCATCAGCAGCCACTTTACAGGCAGTTCCAGCAAGTAGTGACARGCTTCTTCACAACACAGAAGTCCCCAAAGGTTGCCACAAAGTGCCATGCTGGCCAAGATATCTTAAGGTAGCACTTAATTCAYAAGCACTATTTTCTTTGTGCGCCTCTTGTTCTAGAAATGATTCGAGTTGACCAAAGCATACAGATGGTACTAGATCAGATAAAAGATAAACAATGGATGAGAGAC